CCCCAAAACCCCAAAACCCCAAAACCCCTTTCCTTGTTATGGTTATTGAATTAATGTTATGTTTCAATAAGTGCAGATAGTCTATCTATCACCTTATGCTTTATTTTATCTTCAGTCAGAGCCAACTGGTTTTCTGTTATTCCTCAAACCTTATTCTCTATTTCTTGTAGCTATAAACCAATCAGATTAGTTCGAATTATAACAAAATCTTAGAGCCTGTATACTTACGATCATCGAGAGGTTTTCAGTCCTATACAAAAAGTTACTTCAAAGTCTATAAACCTAATACTTACTCATGAACCTTTGCGTCAATATTGTCAACATTGAAGGGGATAATTACAACATCAAAAGCTCTGGCAAGGAGATCTACAATAACAATGCTTCACCGTTCATTAAAGTCTATCTGGTCATAATAAGGACTTACTTTGCTCCTCTTCTTCAGTTAGTTTATCGTCTCTTATTAAGTAAAGATCTACCTTGATGATCTCCTCCTCCTCATAAGCTGATGGGTTAGAGGGTGACTCATTGGCAGGTCCCAGAGGTAGCTCTACAATGTAAGCAACAGTCCTTCCGTTTATCTGTAGGGTTAGAGATAATACTCACATTTGCAGGGATTATTAGAAATTGCTGATCTAGGAAGTCCTGCAATTCTTCGTCAATAGCATCTGAAATTACACCTGTATGGTTCTCCATAATAAATTCATCAAGATAGTTTGTCTCAAAGATCTTTATTCCTACTGGGATGTAGTCAGGATTTTCATATTGAGTCTGTAAGTCTTTGAGCTCAGAGTAAACTTCTAGAAGCCGAAGATAGGCATTAACAAGATTCTCGCAATTTTGATCTCCCATATAATATTCTTTGAAATCTCTCATAGAAATTTTGTTCTTTATAGCATTATTTCAGTAATCTTGAGCACTCAGCTTTGCAAAGACTTTATCATTAACGCTCCTTAAAGAATTATATCTGTATGAGTGATTGAAGCTGTTCTTAACTAAACTTTCATTAGGGCTTGTTTTAAAACTGTTCGACATATCCATTTTTCTAACTCGCTCATACCCTCATTCCTCTTCTGCGCATTTATAAGCTTCCTTGATGATGTAGTTCTGGAAATGGTTTTGAAGAAAAGTCAGTAACTCAGCTCCAAACTTTCACTCAAGATATTTCTGGAATTCAGAATTCTCTAGTTTAATTTCCTTACTTTTGTCCATTCCAGTGAGAGTATTTGATTTTCACAAAGTTACACCTGTGTTTTCTAACTTAAGTCTTGAGTCTGTCATGTCTATCTCTTTATAAGAGCACTTGTCTAGAGAATTAAGCTGTCTAAAATACCTGGAGTGATAACGCTTATAGACTTCTCCTCTTCACCATCACGAAAGACAGGAACCTCTTTATCTTCATCTATAAAATGCATTAAATCTGCTATTTGTGAGATAAACCTACTAAAAAAATTCTGTTGTTTGCCTTTGGCTCTAAAGACACTCATCCTTTTCCATGTGCTTATAGGGGGATTCATTTGAAAATTCAGGTTTTCAGCTTGTCCTTGCACTGGTTCATCATCTGATTCGACTAAAATTTCATAAAAACTTGGAACTCCAAAACCCAGACTTACTCTTTTTAACCACATAGAGCTCAGATTTATGCTGGCTTTTACTTTCACTTTCGCTTGGTCTCCTTAGGCATTTTTCCTTGTTGTTGGTGGCGAATTTCAAGAAGAGCTTACGAATTTTCTTAGGATCAAAGAGAAGGTCATATGAATTCATTCACAAATTTTCAAATTCTCTTAGTGTGAATTCACTCTTTTCTTCTAAAGTTAGAAAGGATATTACCTTCATGTGCAGGGGTGTTGAAGAAGAGATAGTTGTCTGCAAAATAAGTTGAAAATGACTGGAAGATATACTTATTTGTAGTAGCTAGTTGCAAGAACAGAGAAAACTCATAATCCTTCCCATCATGCTCTGTTTCATTATAATAATCTACAAAAGGCAGAATAGCTCCTGCAAACAGCAGTGACATCACTAGTATCACATATGGATCCCTAGCATGAAGCAGGATTCTTTCTTTCCTCTTCTGATCCAGTTCAACTCTATCCAGGTCTCTCACGACCCTGTTACCTTCTAAATAATTCTTCTCTTGCTTCATCTCACTACTACTGCTCTCAGCAGCAATAGTCTGGACAAAGAGCTTGACTTTACAAGCCTTATCATCTCTTAAGACCAAAAACAGGAACAATTTAACCTTAAGTGCGTCCAAATTTTCGTATATTTGACAAATAATGTCCTCTTCGCAATAGAAGTAATCTCTTTTGGAGAAGGCTAATAAGTGCCTTGTCTTCGGATCAATCTCTCCTGTCTCTTCATCTACAGAGAATTCTTCTATTAGCTCTTTAAAATCATCTTCATGGATTGTTGAATCATGAGTGTTATAGGTGATTTTCTTAATTAGTTTTGTAAAGCTCATCTAATACAGGTTATGGTATCCAAAAATACAAGCCTTATTAACCCAAAATATTACTCACTTTACTGTTTGATTTCTTCAATCGTAACAAGTCGTTTATCTGGTTGAGACTTTCGATGTACTGTTTTGAACCATTTGAAATCTATTCAACTCTTATTTCATTATTAATACTAATCCTGCCTAATCTCCCTTACTACGAAACACCTTATCTTTCAAAACCAAAAATGCAGAAATCTCATTCTATCAATCTAATCCCTTTAATTCACCCTGTGTTACCCAACCCACATTAAAAACACCAACTTTCATTATCCGAAAGAGTGTCTCTCCTCTTTTTACTTACACGTCCATATGAAGAAGGTTCATTGGATTTCACAACTGAATCCCTCTGGCCGCAACATGTAAACATGGATTTGAACATAATGGAAGAATATTATTTAATGTCTATACCAATGCAAAAAAGTTTTTAAGGGGTTTTGGGGTTTTGGGGTTTTGGGGGTTTTGGGG